CTGGGTGCTTAGTTTTTCACACCCACATACATTATGTTCATTTAAAAACATGATCCTTTGTGGAATAAGGAAGAAAGATATATAGACTTCAGGACTTTATAGGAGGTAGAGAGACTTGTGTCACTCACTGAGCATTTCCCCCGGCCAGCCGAGGCTCCTTGCTAAAGCACATGCCTTACATTACAGACCCCACCACCCCGTTGACAGCCCCCACCTGTTCCAAACAGTAACAATTTGGAGCATATTCCTCTAGAAACTTTTTATCTCTGCTGTATTCACCTCTGTAGTTCCTTTATTTAAAAAAAAAATTAATCCCCCAGGTATTTATTAGGCTCTAACTCTGTGCCAGGTGGTGTCCTAGGTTCTTGGGGCACAGGGTGAAGAAGACAGAGTCCCTACCCTGCGAAGCTGATGTTCCGGTGGGGAAGGACAGACTGAACAAAGAAGTCTGTGTCGAGAGTGGTGAGAGGTCATATATGGGGAGAGTGATGGCATGCTATTTTCTCTGGGTGGTCGTGTGAGGGGATCCAGCAGAGACCTGGGTGAAGTAGGGGGACACCCTGAGGTGTCTGAAGGGAGAGTGTTTCAGGCTGAGGAAATAGTACATCAGCGAGTGCGAAGAGCTTGGTGAGAGTGGTGTTGCGTTGTTGGTTTGTTGGTTACTCTCAAGGAAACCATTGTGACAGAATTTCCAGGGGCAGGGGGGCGGTGGGCAGGGCGAGTGCGTGGGGAGGGGGCTAGATTACATTGGACTTCATAGGCCATAGCAGGGCCTTTGGATTTCAGTCTGTGAAGGGAAGATGGATTGCCTGTGGCTCAGACCGTACACATTTGTGGCGGGGAAGCTCCCTGGGGCCACACTGCACGTGTTCGTGTCAGGAAGCTTTGTGGATCCAGTGGGAACATGGGCCTTAAAAAGTGAGTAGTTCTTCTACAGGTGGATGTAGCGGCGGGGAGGAAGATTTTATACGTTATGTCTCTCTGTACTGGGCTGTGTGCTGAGGGCTGCTGGGCATACAGGCAGCCCCAGCCCAGGGTGATGGGCTGTCGCGAAACCACGTATGTGGAACGTCACGGGTGCTTGACAGGCACCTGCTTGGGGGGCCGTGCACAGGGTAGACTTCAGCACTATGCCACGATCAAGGGACAGTAAGGATTTCTTACTGATGTTATTAATAGCTGCTCCATCAGGAATGTCACAGAGAACGCAGGACAGAGACGTTTTTTTACCTTGTCATCCTCCCTCCTCCCCCCCCCCCCCCCCGGGAGGAAAATCTTTTTTGAAGCTCCTTGGCTGACTTGCCCTTGTCTCTTTGTCCAGAACTAGGTCATGTGCTGAGTTCACTGGAATTCATTTTGTCTATAAATAAGAGAAAAATTCTAAAAGAGGCTTAAATGGCTTGAAGTTTATTTCTGGCTTATGACCAAAAAGTCTGATGGCCGTGCAGGCTGGTGTGCCACTCTTTCACTCTTTGGTGTCAGGGTCTCAGGCTCTTCCATGTTGTACTCTGCTTGTATGTCCTCCATCCTGCCCGCCCCATCTCCAGGTTACCTCACGATCCCCAGGTGGCTGCTGAAGCCCAGCCATCATAGCCCCCCATTCCATGCAGGAAAGAGGGAAGAAGAGTGTGACCGCAGGTCCCCTTAAGGACACTTCCTAGAAGTCACACACACCATTCCCACTGGGATTTCACTGGCTGGGTGTTAATCTCCTGGTCATGTTGGATGAAAAGGCAATTCAGAAATGTCTTTTCCTGGGAGTCGTGTGCACAGCTGAAAACCAGGAGTTATGAGCGGCAGTGTAACCCAGTGCAGGAGCTCTTAACCTGGGGCGCGTCCAGAATTCCAGCACAGGTCCGTGAATTCGGATGGGGAAAATAACATCTTTATTTTCAATAACCTGTAACTCCAATTTAACCTTCCTCCTATTATGAATTGTAGTATTACAATAGCAAAATATAAATAGTGTCAGCAAAGCCTGTGGAAATCATGACTGTGCACATCTCATTTCAGCTGTTGCAGGTACTTCTAGTGTTGTCTGTGTTCTCCTCTGTTTCAAAATTGTGGTTATTAGACCTGCTCAGGGCACCACTACCCTCCCCCCCCCAAATTAAAAACACAGAAATGAAAATTGATGGTACTTGTTAAGAGCCAGGTGACTGGGGTTCTCATCCTGGCTCTGCCACCTATAAGCTGTGTGAGGTTACTTAACCTCCCTGTGCCTTTGTTTCCTTGGCCACGTAATGGTTGATCCAGAATCTTCATGAGGTTGTCTCGAGGATCAAATGAGTTAAGACATGAAGGCACCTAGAACGGTGCCTGGCACACCGTATGCACCATGGGAGTATTTATTATTATTTTTCTTTCACCGTAAGAGAAAGGAAAGGAGACCTGGGGGGACAGCTAGCCTGCTGCCACGCGTGCCCTTCTTGTGGTATCTGAACAAAATCGGGATGCTGTCAACAGGGTGAGGTCACAGAGGGTGTTCCCAGGTTTATGTCCTTGGTACTCACAGTAACCTGAGGATGGGTGGTATTATAATCCCCATTTCACAGGTGAGGAAATTGAGGCCCAGAAAGGTACAGAGTGGCCCAGGATCCCAAGCTGCTTAGCCTTGAACCCAGACCACGTGGCTCCAGAGTGCCACCCTGTGCTGCCTTTCTTGAGTGTTCCTGGTGCCGCCTGTGCAGACTGACGAAACTAAGCTGACATTCTCAACGACACCAAAACCAGCATCTCCAGAGACAGGAGGGAGGGGGGCTCTCCAGCATGGCAGAGATGGCCTGATTCCTATGCGCCCACCCCTTGGGCACCTTTCCTAAACTACAGAGATGTTGAGATGAAGAGTCTGGGTGCCTGGCTTCCAGTCTGGGCTCTGCTGCTTTCTGGCAAATGACAGCGTCTCTGTGCCTCAGCATCCTCACCCTTAAACAGTACCTACCTTGGAGCTCAGTTCTCAGGATCCAGTGTGTTACTTCTCCACGTCAAGCACTTGGATGCTGTCAGGCACATCGCAGGCAGTCAGATGTTAGCAGCTGTTGTCGCTGGCCTTGTGCTTGTGCTCATTCCCTGCTGGTGTCTCGTCCTCAGGGCTGCGCGCAGCTGTCGGGGCCCTGGCCCTTGCACGCGTTTCCCCATAGCCCAGCTGAGAGAAGAACCCAGAGATCTAACTGGGAGACGACGAAGAGGAAGGAAACAGGCAACTAAGTCAGGATCCCTCCCCCATATTTTATTACGGGAAACTTCAGACCTATAGAACATTTAAAGACTTGTACAAAGGCCAGCAAACTACGGTCCATGGACCGAATTCAGCCCGTGGCCTGCTTTTGCAGATGCAGTTTTGTTGGAACACGGCCCTGCCCCTTAGGCTGCATACGTGTCTGGATCTGTGGCTGCTTTTGCGCCAACGCACAGTTGAGTAGTTAGGGCAGAGACTCCGTGGCCCAAGATGCTGAAAATACGTACTTGCTGGCAATTTACAGGGAAGGTTTATATTTACCGCCTTCTGCCACCACATGTGAGGTTTTTCCCCAGGCCAAGCAGTTCTCTGCAATACCAGCTGGATGTCTTACAATTCAGTTCAGTTGTAACTCTCACCAGAGTCCGCGCCAACCCCGCAGATGAAGGGCTCTGTCCCCCAAGACCACCCCCCATTTCAGACGCCTGTCGCAAGTAATAGGTCCCCACATTACTGACAGCTTCTGTCAGACTTGGCTACAAATTGAGGTTCTCATGACCCTGTCCTTGGATTAATGATTTTTCAGAACAGCTCACAGAACTCAGGGAAACACTTAACGTTTATCAGCTTATCATCTTATAAAAGATATGATAAAGGATTTAGATGAACACGCACATGAAGAGCTACATAGGGTGAGGTCTGGAAGGGTCCTGCATACAGGAGCTTCTGTTCCTCTTCAGTTGGGGTGTGCCACCCTCTTGGTATATGGATGTTTTCACCAACCTGGAAGCTCCCCAAGCTCTATATTTTGAGGATTTTTGTGAAAGCTTCATCATGCAGGCATGGTTGATCATTAAGTCCATTTCCAGCTGCTCTCCCAGTGATGAGGGTAGGGCTGAAAGTTCCAAGCTTCTGACTATGGCTTGGTCTTTCTGGTGACCAGTCCCCATCCAGGAGCCCACCAAGATATGCTTCATTAAAACGGAAGACACTGCTGTCACTGAGGAAATTCCAAGGAACTCTGTGCAGGAACCAGGGGCAGAGACCAGTAAACATATCTTCTGTTTCACTGTTTCACAAGGACTCCCCCCTAAATTTGGGATGATTTCATCTTGAGATGCTGACTTAATTACATCTGCAAAGTCCCTATTTTCACATTCTTGAGTCCTGGGGGTTAGGACTAGAGCATATCTTCTGGGGGCCACTATTCAACCCCTTATGCTAGTGCTGTTACTAGTGCTGAAGGTACTCCTGTTTATACAGCACTGTTGTTATAATACTGTCTTCTATTAGCTGGTGGTCCTGGGTTTCAGTCCCTGCCCCACAGCATCTGAACTGTGTAACCCTTAGAGGGGACTTTTGTTCCCTAAGCCTGTTTCCTGCTATGTAGAATGAGGCTTATAACAGCTCTGACCTCCCGGTTGTCGTGAGAGCCTGTGTGTGTGAGTACCCAGCCTAGGACCCGGCACAGAGCAAATGTGCTGGAACGTGGCCGCCCCTGTTGGAGCGTGTCAGGTGGTGCTGGGTGCAGGAGGGGACCAAAGCAGAGGAGGAGGATCAGGCGTGTGGGGATGCAGTGTGCAGCTTTAGAGAGTGGTCTTGGAAAGCACCACTGAGTGGGTGTCTGCCCAGTAAGACTCCATGGGTGCTTTTGGTGAGGCTGCTGCTCCCGTTGTAATTTACTGACTCAGGCATTTGGTAGGTATGTGCCACATCCTTACACACATTAGGCTTCCAGAGGCTGCCTGGGTCTGGAGCTGACACACACCCCTAAGTCTGGGCATGCTAACATTCTTCCCTGCTCTTCTCGTTCTCTCATTAGCTTCGTCTCAACAGCATCAAGAAACTGTCCACCATCGCCCTGGCCCTTGGGGTGGAAAGGACCCGCAGCGAGCTCCTGCCCTTCCTGACAGGTGAGGAGGTGGACTCCTGGGGCCCAGGCGGAGTGGGGACTGTCCGGGGGGTGGGGGGCTTGGTTCCTGTTGGGTAAGAGAGGCCTCGTTAGGGATTTAACAGACTGTGAGGGTCTGCCCCGTGCTAGGCACGGTGGGGTGGAGGCAGGATTGGTGAATGGGGTCTGGAGGCAGATGGAGCCAGGTTTGAATCACAGCACTAACAGTTAAAAGCTGGTATCTCGAGGTGAGTCATTTAACCTAACTGTTCCTTAGAGTTTTTATGTATAAAGTGCAGATTAAACACACATGTGCTATAACATTGATGTGAGCATTAAGTAACAGTAAGAGTAATTGCTGACATTTATCCTCTGCCTGCCATGTGCCAGGCAGTGCTCTCAACCCTCTCTTGTGAGGATTGGGTTAGTTCATGGTCCTCAGAACGGGGGCCTTTGCTCAGTAAGTACACATGAGTATTGTTCCCCGTTGTTAATCTCACAGCAGCTCCTTAAGGTAGGGAAGACTGCTGCCCCCATTTTATAGGTGAGGGCGCTGGGGTTGAAGAGGTGAAGGAGTACATTTGCCTGAGACAGCTAAGAGGTGACCCACAGGGGTTATTTATCTAGTCATGCTGGCTGCAGACTTAACAGCACTGGTTAATGACTCAGGGTCCTGACGACCTGGGTTCAAACCCGAGCCCCAGCACCTTCTAGCTGTGTGACCATGGGCAAGGTATTTCACATCTGCCTGCCTCTGATTCTTCGTGTGTGAAGTGGGCCTAACCGTGTAACCCGATACCAAGCTTAAATAAGATGCCATGTGAAGTGCTCACACAGGCTGTGCTCAGCACATGGGAAAAGCTGCCAAGTGTTAGTGGTTAGACTGCCCCGCTCACCTCCTGTCTGCAGATGCGTGCAGAGCACTCAGCACAGTGTCTGACACACCGGACCACCAGTTAGAGGTAAATCCTCTGTTCCCACTGTTCTTCTTACTACTTTATACTAATTGAAATAGCAACTGAAGGCTCAGAGTCACTGTGAAACTCCTACCTGATCCTTTAATTTGGGCTTAGTGGTGATGCCGGGGAGGAAGGGAGCGGAGATGATTATTCCTTCTTTTGACATGTGGGGACATGAAGGCCTATAGAGACACAGGGATTGCCCACGGTGACAACGGCTAATGACTGAGGAGCACAGGTTTATCTGCCTGCGAACACCACATGAGCAGGTATCCATGTGACACTGAGCAGGTGACCTGAACTGAGTGGCTTCCACTGGTGAACTGTGGGCAAGACTTGAAAGCTCTTGAGTGCTGAGATGGGGCAGCTGGGCCACAAGGAGTGTGATGTGTGGCATGGTGGTGTAATAAAGTGGGTAAAGGGGGTGCCTGGGTGGCTCAGTCGGTTGTGTCTGCCTTTGGCTCAGGTCATGATCCTGGGATTGAGCCCCCACCTTGGGCTCCCTGCTCAGCGGGGAGCCTGCTTCTCCTTCTGTCATCCATCCTTCAACCCCCCCTCCCCCCGCTCATGTGCACTCTCACTCTCAAGTAAGTAAAAGATTAAAAGAAAATAAAGTGGGTAAAGAAGTTGGTGGGACCTGGGTTTGAATCCAGCTGTGCCACCAGCCTGCTAGCAAACCTGGGTCAGCTACTCCATTTCCCCTAGCCTCAACTCCCTTATCTGTCAAGGGGTAAGAGGAGTACCTAACTCAGGGCTGTTGAGGATTAAGTGCTCCATGCGGAGCTGAGTCTGTAGAAAATGCTTGGGAAGTGCTGGTCCCTCTATGGTGAGGTAGTGGGGAAGGCAGCCTGGGGGAGGGAGGGGACTGGCAGGAGTAAACAGCAAATGGAGGCAGGATTGAACATGGTGATTGGATGAAGGGAGAGGCACAGGGGCAGGTGGGGGGGGGGGTTGCCAATTCTGAGTGCCAGGCGGCAGTCTGGGATTAATCCTATAGGTGAAGGTAGGCAGCCATTGTAGATAGGTTCTGGAGGGTGGGCGAATGAGATGTAGAAAATAAACCTGTGCACACAGCATTGTAAGGGGGGGGTGGGTATGGGCAAGAAAACAGCAGAGGCAGTTGACTTGGGGTCAGTGGCTGAGAGCAAAGACCCAGGGGTTGGGCAACCTGGTTCAGTCCCAGCCAGGACATGCTTCATTTCCTCTGTAAAACGGGAATCATCATCTAATATGTGGGCTGCTGTTAAGATTCAGTGAATTTTTTTTTAAAGATTTATTTGACAGAGGTGGAGAGAGTGAGCACAAGGAGGGGTGATGGCAGGCAGAGGGAGAAGCAGGCTCCCCACTGAGCAGGGAGCCCGATACGGGACTTGATCCCAGGACCCCGGAATCGTGACCTGAGCCGAAGGCAGATGCTTAACCAGCTGAGCCACCCAGGCGCCCCAAAATTCAGTGAATCTAACATATGTGTCCTCTTTATTTCATCATAGAGCCACATGTGACATCACAGTAATGCAAGTGAGAGGAACTGTAGAAGCCATGAGATGGAAGAGGAGTCAGGCATTCAAGACACATTTCTTTGGGGTGCTTTCGTTAAGTGGTGGCAGATTTTCTTTCCTTTGGGCTTCACCCTTTGCAAAATGTTCAAAATAGCAAATGGTAGATACATTGCGTCTTTCAGAAAAGGTGGTACTGTTTCAGAACAAGCTGAAAGCCCTCTCTCAGCTCACACCTACAGAACAGTCGCAGTGTTATGAGGGGAAAATTACCACGTGATGCCCCAGTGTGTTGGAAACAGGTGTTGGTAATTTTTTGGCCACAGTGAGATGCGGATGGGTTCCAGGGTGAGTCAGGTCACTTGTGTGTGCCAGTGGCTGAAAAGTCACGTGCCATTTAAAGGCTTGTACCCAGGCAAACACCAGTGAAAAGTATCCTCAGAAATCCCAGATTTGCCTTAAACACACCACATGGTTTTGTTGGGAAGGTGTATGAATGCAGGTTCCCTGAGCAGAGGAGAGTGGCTTGTTGCTGCCTTTCATCGCGTTCATGGCATCTCTTCAAGCTCAGGACAGAGTCTTTTCTGTTTAAAAGATCTGGGTTCATTTAAGCGAATACACGGTATAGTTAAAAAATACCTCGAAGGAGGCCATTTGTAGGCATATTTCATAAATATCTAACGCACACCACTGTGGGCTGTGAGATGGAGAGCAAATCAAAGTTCCCGTCTTCATGGAGCTTCTGTTCCAGTCAGGGGAATAAGTAGTGATGAAGCCAGAGAGACACAAAGTGGAAATAAGGGTAAGGGATATTCCAGTGGTGGCCAGGGCAGGTCTTCCTGGGGCTGTGGTCTGAATGGCACCTGCCGTGTAGGACTTTGGGAGAAGAATGTTCCAGGTACAGGAAGAGGCAGGCGTGGATGGGCACAGTGTTGGAGGGAAGATGTGGGTTGGAGATCGGTACAGTGGCCACATCACCTGGGATCATGGTGTATGGAGTCAGGATTTTAATTCATGTTCCTTAGAAACCATTGGAAGATGGAGGTAGGGGAGTGTCATGATTTAAAGCATCACTCAGGACTCTGGAAGGAAGCTGGGTGGTTTGGGGGCCAGGGCAGAAGCAGAAAAATCAGTTAGGAAGCAGTTGTAGTCATCCAGCAAGATGGTGGTCATCAGAGGGACACTGAGGTGGACGGTGGACAGGTCTGCATCAGAGAGGTGGGGAGGAGGCATCCCTAAGCCTCTGAGGCCGAGAAGATGGGGAGGCTGGGAAGGCGGTTCTGTGGGGGTGGGGACCATGAAAATAGGAGGTGCTGGCAGGTTCCACGTATTTGGCTTTCAGGAACGCAGCTGGGCCAGGGAGTCTGGACTGAGGACTGAGTTGAATACGAATTGAGGCCATGGATATGCACAAGGTCTCCGGGAGATAGAGAAAATGGGGAGGGTGAAGTTAACTATGTACGGAGAGGGCGAAGTTAACTGTGTACAGAGAGGGCCAGGGAAACTGAGGCTGGGAAGGACCCAAGGGCCTGGTGGGCCCGGAGCCACACTGGTGTGTTCTCTGAAGCGCTGACTCGGGCCAGACCCCATGCTGAGCTCTTCACAGAAAACATCACTTTGCTTTGGTCTCACACAGCTCTGTTGGGATGTGGGGTGAGAAAACAGGCTCAGAGGTGAAGTGAATGGCCGCACACCCAGCCAGCAGTAGAGCAGAGAACCCACCACAAGGTGAGGAGGATGAGGACAGCCCCATGAGCAGAGAGGGTGGTGAGGAAGTGACCCAGAGTGTGAACCTACCACTTCTCACACCCCATCGGCCAGAGCAGGGTCCCTTGGCCTGCCAGCTGCAGGGGAGCCTGGAGATGTCTGGCTGGGCTGCCGTATGCTTGGCTTAATCTCGGCAAGTTGAAATGCTAGCATAGATGTCAGGGATGTTAGCGTCTTCTGCCACAGAGGTCAGCAGTTCCTACTGGAAGCATCTTCTGCCATACTGTTGAGAAAGGCCTTTGGTTTGAGCATTAGGACACAGCAGCTCTGTCTTTACACAGTCATCCAGTGTTCTTCCAGCAAACCTGGACTGAGCTCCTGCTGTGCTCATCTCTGGCAGAAAATGGGGTACAGAGAGGAGCCGGTCCTGGACTCCTAAGGACTCTGATAAAGGTGGCTTGGGATTGAGGGGAGCGTAGAGAAGGGACGTGCCCTGGTCTGGTCAGGAAACCTGAACTGAATCTTGAAGGATGGAGAAGAATTTCTCAGACTGAAGAGAAAGATTAGTTCTTGGCAGAGAAGGCAGTGCTGAGGGTAAAAGCTGGACCAAACCGAAAAGCCCCCATTTACCAGGCTCTGTGCTCATATGCATGGTCTTGTTTGCTCCTCACTGTAATTCCTGCTGAGATGTACATTAGCACCATTTTACAGGTGCAGAAATGGGTTCGCAGACTGGTCTCACTCACCCAGTGTCCCTCACCTAGTAAAGGGCAGAAGAGGGACTTTGGTGCTCTGTCCTCTGACCCAAGCCTGCACCTTGATCTCTGCACCAGTCAGGGTGGAGGGTGAGAGTTAGAGGAAGCAGAATGGAGCCTGCTTGTTCCCAGCTTGGGTCACTCAGGGGCTGGAGTCAGACTTGGCATGGGACTGTAACAGAGTCTGTCTTTGTTCCACAGACACCATCTACGATGAGGATGAGGTCCTCTTGGCCCTGGCAGAACAGCTGGGAACCTTCACTACGCTGGTGGGAGGCCCCGAGTACGTGCACTGCCTGCTGGTGAGTCTGGAGGCAGGGAGGTCTCCTGCCCACCCCTTGGGGGTCAGATCCATGGCCCTGCCAGGAGCAGGATGGGAAGAATGCAGGAGAGGCTGGGGGTCATGTTCTAGGAACAGGCAAGCCTTGGACATTCCCTTTAATCCACCAGATTAGTAGTAGCGTTTCATATAGCAATACCAAAAATACACTTGTTTATCTTCCTGTTAGCTGGGCACTTGGCCCAACATAGAGGGCTTTGGGCTTTGGGCTTGGAGGCAGTCTGAGTTCTATCACTCTTTTGCTGTGCAACTTGTAAGAGTTACTTAACCTCTCTGTGTTATACTTTCCTCATCCGTAAAATGGGAGTCATTAAAATGTATCTTTTTAATTGATTAAAGCCCTTGGTGTGGTACTTGGCACATGGTAAATACTATCAGGTGTTAGCTGCCAGTGTCATTATGCCATATGTTACGAGGTCATGTCCACCCTTTGGGGTAGGGACATTTCCCTTTTCGTAAATGAGCCACTGGGCACACTGAGGGGTAAGCACCTTGGCCAAGGCCTCGCAGGTAGTAAGTAGCAGAGCTGGGGTTCCAGGTGCCTGCCTGTGCGCCCCTGTGCTTGGTGATGGCTAGGGACACAGAGATGGGTCAGATACCAATAGTAACTGCTGTTTGTGAGAAGAGCAAGGTGGACTCCATTGTCACCAGGGAAACACTCTGGTCCTGCCATCCGGGAAGGAGGAGCCTCGGGTTTCCGAGCCCCTTGGTTTTCGTTGTTCCTCAGAGCCCCAGGTCACTGCTCCTGCCTGCTCTCCCCCTGCCCCCGATAATCCTGTATGTCATGCTTCTGAAGACACAGTTTTATATTTGGCATCTGCACTTAATGATGTCTTAATTTTTATCATAGCCTTTTTCCTTTTAGTGGTGTATAAAATAATGGCATTTCTTAAAATTGAGGGGATTTCGGGTTTGAACAGATATTTCTTCTAAACAGTGTTGTTTCTGAAGAAATTGGATAATTGTCATTAAATATTGGTCTGTCAGCTTTCATCTGTGTGTACGTGTATAATTTATGTGTATGTACACACAGACAGTTGTATGCGAATGAGATCATTTCCTGCATTTTACACAGATTAGGGCTGCTTAACACAAACATGATGAGGTCTGGGGGCCAGCGTGAAAAAGGGGTCCCTTGAGCTCCATGGAACTTTCTGTAAGCCCTGGAATTTATCAGTTTTACTGAGGAGAGAATTTGTAGCTTTCAGCAGCATCTCAGAGGACTTGGGAGCAGAAAACACGGATCCCATAGCTTCAACAAGGGGCCCCAAGGCCCTCAGATGGTGTAGGGCTCAGGCTTGCTGGGGAGCAGGACTGGAACCCTGGAGTCCTTGCCTTACCAGGTCAGGGTCATCCCACACATATTTTGGGGAAGAGTCACGTGTCCTCTGGGACCAGTGTTCATCCTGGGGGCCCTGGGCCAGGGAGCACTGGTAACACATCCTGAGGACCCTGGGCCAGGGAGCACTGGTAACCCAGAGGCCAGTCAGGCCCGAATGCTGGTGCTCCTTGGTGCCTGCAGGTGCCTTCTGCACAGTCACCTGTCATGTCCCCTAGGGGCCCTATGAGATGCACACTGGTGCTAGCCCCAGTTCACAGATGAGGAAGGAAACTGAGGCTCGAGGTCTGGTTTAGGTTGAATTGCCTGAGCTGGGAAGAGACAGAGTCAGGATTCAAACCCAGGCTCCTGCCTCTTAATCACTGCCACTCCTCTCTCTTATCGCCCCCCCCCCCCCAAGGGCTCTCAGTAGCTCTACAGGCTGATTAGAGCTGGGCAAGAGGGAAGCTGGGGGACCTTAGAACCTGGAGGAGGCACCTGACCTGTTCCGGATGGGAAGGGGGAGCTGTCAGCGAAGGCCTCCTGGAGGAGGTACCAATGGATCTGGATTTTGACAAAGAGAAATGGAAAATGGCTATTGTGCAATTTGTTCGCTCCACGAACATGAGTACCAAGTATGGGCTCCGGAACCCAGAGGTGTGTCAGAGCCATCCAGCCCTCGTGTCTCTGGAGGGGTGAAATGGGATTAATTTCACAGGGAGCCGCGTAGCTACGGCACAAGGATTGATTCTGTATCTACAGCTCTTAACCGTTTTGGAATCCTGGGTCGCTTTGAAAATCTGATGAAAACTCTAGAGCCTCCTAAAAGTACAGTGATTTTAGGAGGTTCACACCCCTCCCCCGCATATTCTCTGGGTTTGAGAACTCTGCCCTCTCTCCTTCATGGAGAACCCACAGCACGACTTCTCATTGTGGGAAAGCATCCCTTGGAGTTTCCTAAACATGCACCTTCCTGGGCCCCGCCCTGGAGGGTCTGATTCTGTTGGTCTGTGCTGAGTGAGCTAGGCCTCCTGGGTGATCACAGACCTCACTGTGCGAACCACCGCCCGCAGCGACCCCCTAGGGCCGGCACCCTGGCGCGACATAAGTACCACTTGGCCTCGGTCACTCTCTGGATGGAACAGGTGAATGGCAAATACTGATTGCGGACCCACCTCCATGTGCCGGCGTGGGAAGCGGGAAGACCAGGAACAGAGAGGAGCCCAGTCCCTTCAGTAGCCCAGCGTCCCCACCTTCAGCCGCACTCCTATGAGACGAGCCAGAGACCCTGCGATAGCATGGCGTTAGGACAGAGGCCACACACTGGCGGCCCCCAGGCTGCCATAGTGTCACATTTTCCTCTTGAATCACTGCCAGTCTTTTGTGAATTTTTTTTTGTTTATATCCATCGTGGTTAAAAATACCAACAACCATTTTTAAGGATACGGTTTTGTGGCATTAAGTGTATTCACATTGTGGTGCGGCCACCACCACCATCTGTCATCTTCCCCCATTAACCAGTAACTCCCCATATCCCCTCCTCCCCTGCCCCTTGGGGCCCACCATTCCACTCTCTGTGTCTATGAATCTGGTTACTCTAGGGTCTTCATACAAAGGAATCCTACAACGTGTGGCCTTCTCTGACTGCCTTATTTCACTCAGCATAATGTCTTCAGTGTTCATTCATTGTGTAGCATGTGTTAAATGAGATTTTTGACATATACACACCTGCCCCCTTTGGCTGCTTTTGGAAAACTGATTGCTTTTACCAGCTGTGTTTTCCTGGGGAGACAGTTGATGGAGCTGGGAAGCAGCTGTCCTTCCTAGGCTACATGCCACAGTTTCTGCCTCCTTCAGTTGTCCCCACCCGCCACCTTTGCTCCTTGCTCCATTCTCTTGCCTGCTTGGGTTCTGGAGGCATTTCCGTGTACGATTTCTTCCTGCCTTCTACACCTGTCAGGCCACACTGGACTTCAGACCGCAGATCTTCACACCTTTATTTGAACAGACTAGAATCACTTAAGCCTCCCTTTATTCAGTCAGTAATTGCTGAGCTCCCGCCCTGTCCGAGGAGCTCTGCTGGGTTCTGGGGACATGTGATGAACCAGTCAGATGTCCCTAAAGGAGCAGGACCCCTCCAGGCCTGCGGTCCCAAGCCTCAGGTTTGCCAGTCACGTGAGCTCCTGGGGCAGTCCCCTATCAGAAACCACAGCCGTGCTTTTAACCCTTTGCAAACTCGGGAACCCGGTGGCCTGGTTTGGATCCTGTCTTGTAGCTAGCACTAGAGTGGGCAAGTTAATTTAACTTGCCTGCCTCAGTTTCCTCTTCTGTAAAATGAAGACCGTCACGGGACCTGCTTCATAGAGTCGACATTGTCCCCTGTTCTCTTCCACCACCACCCCCCCCAGGTCCCAGGTCCCAGGTTGTGTGACACAGTGACCCTGCTTAGGACACCCAGCAGATAGATGTTCCAGTCAGTATCCATGATTATCCATGCACTGTGAGGAGCCAAGGACAGCTGTGGCCCTCTGCTCAGAAAGTGATAGGTAGAATTGTGAGGATCCTGGCCCTCAATGAAGCTCCTTCAAGGGCCTCTATGTGAGGCTCTTTGTTGGGGCTCTTCAGGAAGGCCTGCAGGTGGGGAGGTCAAGGAAGGTTTCTCTGAGATGAGCCACGAGGGGCATGGGGTAGGGCTCGAGGCTGGGGTGGTGAGGAGGGGACCTGCTGTGACCTTGTGCTCTGTCCCGCAGCCACCCCTGGAGTCGCTGGCCACGGTGGAAGAGACGGTGGTGCGGGATAAGGCGGTGGAGTCCTTGCGGGCCATCTCGCACGAGCACTCACCCTCTGACCTCGAGGCCCACTTCGTGCCGCTGGTGAAGCGGTTGGCGGGCGGCGACTGGTTCACCTCCCGCACCTCCGCTTGCGGCCTCTTCTCTGTCTGCTACCCCCGCGTGTCCAGCGCCGTCAAGGCAGAACTTCGACAGTGAGTCCTAGCCTTGCCTCAGCTTGGACCCCTTCTCTCAGGCTCAGCCCCCACTCCGCCCCTCCTCCGCCCCTCAGAGAGCGGCGTCCCCAGGCCGGGGCCAGACACAGCCTCTTGCTCATTTAGGAAATGGAGAAATGATAGCTCCTTCCTCCCATTGGGCATCGTGAGGATTTACAAGAACGACCACATACAAAGTGCGGGGAACAGATCTGGCTCATAAAAGCACCCCACCCGTGGGGTGGGTGCCATTTCAGGCCTGCCCCCGGTCCAGAACCCTCACAGATACACTGGCTCAGTTTGGCCGCCTCCTCCGCCCTCCTCCCCTTAGGCTTGATACTCCAGAGAATTCCTTGTATGTAAGACTCCTCTCCAGGAACAGTGAATGAAAATGCTTCTAAGTGGATTAAAATTTCCCATTAGTATGTGTTTCTTCCCCTCCCTCTGGACGTCATTCACTCACCAGCTGCACAGACTGTTGAGCAGCAAGCGCAGGCCCTGAGTTCTTACACATGACAGAATACTGGTTTACAGCTGCCCACGTTTGCTTAGAGGTCTGTGTGCATGCGTGCATCCCCCACACTCCTGAAAAGTAAAACCTTTGAGGAACCCCTGGACAGCATCTTAGCCCAACAACTTTATATGGTCAGAATGATACAGTCAGTAACTGCCGTTCACTAGGACTTACTATGTGCAGATCGGCTGCTCTGCTTTCACGCACATTATCTCGTGTAAACCTCATCGTGACCTTGTGCGGTGGGAAGTATCACCATCAGCTCCATTCTATAGGCCTGGGAAGACTCGGGGGCTCATCGCTTGTCCGGGGTCGCTCAGGCAAAGCCAGGACTTGGCGTGACTGCGTCTGCTTTCTCCTCTCTTCCTCTGTGTGCTGCTATGGGATCCTAGGCCTTCCTCCCCCTGAGTCCCACTTCCAACCCCCAGGTACTTCCGGAACCTATGCTCAGATGACACCCCCATGGTGCGGCGGGCCGCAGCCTCCAAGCTGGGGGAGTTCGCCAAGGTGCTGGAGCTGGACAATGTCAAGAGTGAGATCATCCCCATGTTCTCCAACCTGGCCTCTGACGAGCAGGTGGGCTCTGCTCCCCAACCCCCTACTCCATCCCCTTCCTCTAGCAGATCCTGTGTCTAAAAGGGACTCCCAAAGGTAACGGGTCTCTGCGGCCCTCACAGCTCTGATCCTCTCCGCAGGACTCGGTGCGGCTGCTGGCGGTGGAGGCATGTGTGAACATCGCCCAGCTACTACCCCAGGAGGATCTGGAGGCCCTGGTGATGCCCACTCTGCGCCAGGCTGCTGAGGACAAGTCCTGGCGCGTCCGATACATGGTGGCTGACAAGTTCACAGAGGTGGGGACAGTTCACAACTCACAGATGGGGAAACTGAGGCCCTCAGAGGGGTAGGGATGGGGCCACACGTAGAAGCTGGGTTTTTAGTTATATCCAACAAATTATTGGGTGTTTGAGCAGTAAGATCTCTGATCATCTGGCTGCGTCTCACTTCATATTGCCAACCCGGGTTGAGTAATAGTCGCAACTTGAAGAGCTGTGTTGGGAAGGATTCTGAAGCCAAGTTCAGGTTCTGTGGAGAGCCACAGAGCAGAGAAGGGTAATATGTGTGTGCTCTTGACCTAATCAAACTCTCCCCTTTTACAAAAGGGAGGGCATAGCCTGTATTAGTTTTGGGGACTGCCATGACACAGTACCACAGACTGGAGGGTACTTTATTTGCTCACTGTGCTGGAGATTAGTCCAGGACTTTTTTTTTTAAGATTTTATTTACTTATTTATTGGGCGAGAGAGGAGGAACAGAGAGAGAGGGACAAGTAGACTCCTCACTGAGCACAGAGCCCACCGGAGGGCTTGATCCCAGGACCCTGAGATCATTACCTGAGCCAAAATCAAGAGTCTGGCACTTAACTGACTGAGCCACCCAAGCGCCCCTCCGAGACTTCTTTTCTTGGCTTGTAGATGGTCTTTTCCCATATCTTCACATGGTCTCCCCTCTGTGCATGCCTGTGTCCTAATCTCCCCCTCTTATAAGGATTCCAGTCATTTTGGAGTAGGGCCACCTTAATTACCTCTTAAAACCCTGTCTTCAAATACAGTCACTTTCTGAGGTACTGAGGGGTTAGGGCCTGCAACATAGGAATTTTGGAGGCTCAGTTCAGCCCATAGCACAGCTCAGAACCGGTCAGAATGACACCACCAGGCAGGCAGAACAAGGAAAAGATCCCAGGTCTCTGACAAGATCCTAGGACAGTGCTCTTTCCACAGAGACTCAAGTTTGCTTATCCCACCATCATGTTTGTTGAGCATTGGCTCTTTTTGTGGGTGCTGGGGATCCAGTGAATTCATATTCCCAGCCTCCCCAAGGAGCAGGCAGCCTGAAGGGGAGGGTCCGCTGAGATAGAGGGAAACTGTCAGCCCCAAAGCCGACAGACCTGTGTGGGGCATTGAGAAGAGGAGGTGGTGCTGCAGCTGGTTCTAGAAGATGAGTGGGTGAGAGCTGGGTTAGGACTGTGTTCCAACAAAAGGACAGCATGCGCATGGAGCCCTGGGAGTCCAGAACCAGTGCAAGTGAGAACATTCAGGACTTGCTCTTGGGGGCCCCACATGAGAGAAAGCTGGAGAGAAGCACAGGGTTCGAGTCTTGGGTGCCATTCTACCCTGTGGCTCCCTGTTCCTGTGAGTGTGCTTATTTCCATGGTGTTTGCTGGAAGGACTTGGAGCCTCAGGATAACATTTCCTGGACCATCCGTGTTCCCCGTGAAAATGTTAGCACAGGGCGGCTGCACCCTGGAGGCTCAGCACCTGGTTAAAGACGATTCTTCCATCCTCGGCTTCTGGACAGCATGACCTGTATCACACTGGGTTTTAGATAAAAGCTCAATGAAGGCAGGGATTTTAGAGTTAAGCAGTGCGCAGTGCGCAGGAGACACTCAGTAGGTGTCCTGTTTTGTCTGAGGGGCAGCACTTGCCCCAGGTAGCATTGGGCCCTTCAGAGTTTTTGTTTGTTGCCTTCTTAGTCATGAGCTGTCCTGCTTCCTGCGAAGTCTTCCGGAGCCAGCTTTTCAGCAGAACACAGGTGCCTTCCCTGGCATGCCTTCTTCCCCCTCAGTCTTGACGCGCCATTTCGTTGCAAGAGTAATACAGGGGGGCGCCTGGGTGGCTCAGTCGTTAAGCGTCTGCCTTCGGCTCAGGTCGTGATCCCAGGGTCCTGGGATCGAGCCCCGCGTCGGGCTCCCTGCTCCGCGGGGAGCCTGCTTCTCCCTCTCTCACTCCCCCTGCTTGTGTTCCCTCTCTCGCTGTGTCTCTCTCTTCAAATAAATAAAAAAATCTTTAAAAAAAAAAAAAAAAAGTAATACAGGGTCGGGTAACCAATTTGAAAAATATAGAATATAAATTAAAATTAATATTTAACTAAAATTAATAAAAAGGAGGAGCCATACCACTAGAATGTTTTTGGATCAGATAACAGAAAACCCCACCCCAAATGGCTTGAGCAGTAAGGAGACCTGTTGTTATTTTTAATGCAGACAACACTGTGCGGTAGGTACTCATGGCCCTCATTCTGCTTTTGAGGAAACAGGCTCAGAGAGACTTGGAGACTTGCCTGGGCTCACCCCGTGGTGCTGGGAGTAGATCTCAGCAGTGATTCCAAGGGCCGCGTTCTTCTCACCCCCAGTTCTGGTGCCTTTAACTTCGATTCTGGTCTCATTCACCCAGAGTACTGCCCAGCCCTCTCACTCCCCCTGCTTTCTGTCTGCAGCTCCAGAAAGCAGTGGGGCCTGAGATCACCAAGACAGACCTGGTGCCTGCCTTCCAGAACCTGATGAAAGACTGTGAGGCCGAGGTGAGGGCCGCAGCCTCCCACAAGGTCAAAGGTTGGTGCTGGCAACCAGAACACAGCAAATGGGAGGGTGTCCGAGGGGCCCGAGGCAGAACCAGGACATCAGGTCTCACCTTCCTCTGCCTCCCTTCTCCCTCCCACAGAATTCTGTGAAAATCTCTCAGCTGACTGTCGGGAGAATGTGATCATGACCCAGATCTTACCCTGCATCAAGGTAACAAGGAGTTTGGTGGGAGGAATAGGGCAGATCTTAGCCTGCTGAAGAGGAGGGGTGGACATTGGGCTTTATGGACATTCAGAGGCAAACAGTCCCCAGCCTTCTAGGACTGGGCGGTGTTGGGTTGGAAGCAGGTGGGGTCCCTGAGTGCAGGCAGAATCTGAGGTTTGGGGCTGAGCTTGGAGTGGGAGTGCTTCCCCTCAAAAGTTCTAAGAGCTTTGGCCTTAGGGTGGGGGGCTTCTAGGAGCAGGCTCATGGAGCTCTAAGCAGGCGGGACAGGTAAAGAAACTGCCTTATACCTTTGTACCCTAAACCATCCCTGCTCCATGAGGGAGAAGGGCAGAAGCAGGCCAGGGCTCAGGCCTCATAGCAGGTGGGAGTGTGCTTGGTCACTTGCTGCTGCAGGGGTCATCCTGACCCTGTGGCTCCCCCTTCCTTCTCCCTCCCAGGAGCTGGTGTCAGATGCCAACCAACACGTGAAGTCGGCCCTGGCCTCCGTCATCATGGGCCTCTCGCCCATCCTGGGCAAAGACAACACCATTGAGCACCTCTTGCCCCTCTTCCTGGCTCAGCTGAAGGATGAGGTAAGGGTGCCGCAAAGGCTCGAGCCCTCGGTTGGCAGAGGTGACAGGTGGGTCAGCTGCTTTCCCAGATTGGCCGGGAGTCTCCTAGAATCTTAACAGACACCCAGGTCCCGAATGAGTTGAATACTGGTGGGCACTGTCTACTGTGCATTCGCTCATTCACTTATTAGGCAACGTTTTGCATGCCCTTGCTCTGTGCTGGTTCTTTTTCTGGGTGTCAGGGATACCAAAAAAATCTAAGACAGTTGTACTTCTCAGAGACCTTCAGAGACTGACAGTAGAGAGAGACAGATGGGCAATCCCATGATTCCATGATCATGTAGGTGCTGTGATACATTTGTGTCTTTTAAAATTTAGGTAAAGGTGCTGTAATGAAGACCCCAAAATACAGTGGCTTACATAAGAGAATTAATTTTCTCACAACAGTTCAGAGCTAGGTGGGCCTACGCTGGGGGTTAGCCCTGCTGACCTCCGCGCTCTCTGGGTCTGAGACAGCTGCTCTGATTTTCACCACCCCCAGCCAGTATGGAGGCAGAAGGTATTAGACAGCAGGAAGTGTGGTCCTCGTAAGGGCAAGACCCAAAAGAGAGCACCCATCAGTCTGTTCCCTCCCCACACACCCCATTGGCCAGAGCCAGTCATGCGACCACACCTTGCGGGTTCAGTTGGCCTGGAGCACAGAAGATGAGTGTGTGCTGGGTGATGGCTGGACAGGTCGTGGGGTGACAGCCAAGGAAGGAGTTTGGACTTGAACCAAACGGTGGGCAGCTGGAGGCACTGGAACAGATCTGGGTGTTAGAAAGGAACCCTGGGCGCCTGGGTGGCTCAGTTGGTTAAGCGACTGCCTTCGGCTCAGGTCATGATCCTGGAGTCCCTGGATCGAGTCCCGCATCGGGCTCCCTGCTGAGCAGGGAGTCTGCTGCTCCCTCTGACCCTCCCCCCTCTCATGTGCTCTCTCTCATTCTCTCGCTCTCTCTCAAATAAATAAATAAAATCTTAAAAAAAAAAAAAAAAAAAAAAGAAAGGAACCCTGAGGCTACTGTCAAAGAAAGAATGCAGTGGGGAGGCCAGGAGAGGTACAGGGAGACCAGGCTGGTGGGAGAGAGGTGTGGCTGCAGAGATGCGGACAGGACCATGTGGGGCAGGGGTGGTTTGCAGGCTCCCTGGTTCTTGTCATGGTGGTGACCAGGCAGATGGTGAGACAGTTTGCTGGACTGTGACTCATTCTGCCAAAGGCCTCAGTCTTCCTGCCTCCCTGCTCTCCCTACACCCCCCGCCCCCCAGCACACCCAGTACTAGGAAATCACATCAGCCTGAGTCCTCTGCCACTGGCCCCAAAATGTCACGTTTTTAAATTCTGCTATGATGGGATAATCTCTCAGCCACAGAATTACAGACAATGCGCCCTTTAAAGAGAAGCTTAGTAATCTTACTTTTGGTCATTTATTTGTATCAGTTGTTACAGTTTAAACCATAATTTTTGTAATGACTTGAATTTTATGACCCAAGTAAAGTGCTTCACATATGTTTTCTTTTAGAAGTATGCTTTTTGTAGTTATAACTTGTTATGATTTATATTCACTTCTGATGCTTAAATGGGGACAGCTTGCCTGGTGAGAGTCCCTCGAATTGGCTTTTGTGTCCTTTTAACACCTCACCAGGGCCTTGGGGAGCATTTTGCTTTCTGGCGTCGAGGAGAGATCCACACTGAGCTTGAGTGTGAAGGTGAGCCCACACGTGCTAAAACAGTGCGGGAGCCGGAGCCAGAGCCGGTTTCTGCACTGGTTTCGCCGTTAGCAAGTGCTGCGTGGCGATCATACTCCCGCAGCCGCGGTCTGTCCCAGCGCAGCTTCTCTTGCAAAGAAGAAAAGAAAAAAACCCATCGTGGTTTTCTTGGTGTGAGTTAGTCATCTGGCTTGTATTTGAGATTTCAATTTTAGATCTGTGAACTTTATATTTTATATGTGATAAGGTTTATAAACTTATCCAAATAAAAGGCCTTTTTCTGGATATGCCTGAAGTTACGTGGCGTAAGGCGTTGTATTTGTTTGCGCCTTCTCTTCTCATGTGTTCAGGACACCGTGCCTTATGCACCAGGGGCTCAGGTGACCTCCCAGGAGCTAGGTGGGGGCCAGCCCTGTCTTTGAAAAGTGTAGGTTTCGGACAGTCCAGGCCTGCTGAGTTAACCCTTCACTGCACACACACACTCACTTGGTTTATTGGCTCATTTCAAAGCCTTGTTTTGTTGTTGTTTTATGACCAGAGTAGTTTCAATAAGGAAATAGTTTTCTGCCCTTCCTGAGGGTAAGTGGTGGTTTGTGGGAAAGCCTTCATCTGAGAAAGGCTTCTCCTGTCTCTGGTCTCTGGCTGACATGGAGTCTCAGAATTATACCTGACCTTTCAGATACCCCAGCAAGAGTTGCTCTTCAGCTGTGGCCCAGAGTTCCTCCTCTGGGCCTTCTGAGATGGGCTTTCTGATGCTCTGCACCAGGGAGTGACATGGCAACTGGGGGAAGTAAGCCTGTTGACACAGGAGGCTTGGTTTGGCTCGTGTGTTGCTGCAGAGTCCATACTCAGTTAGGTGGTGGTTTGTTAGATGCTCATTTCTTCCTCGTCTCCAGAGGTGAGACTCCCATATGGGTACGTGCAGTATTTTCCATCTTTAGGATTGTGTATGGCTAACCTTCAGGGAAAGTAAAGAGGCCCATTCACTGTCAGGACATTCACAGCCCTGGGTAGGTGCTAACTCCCTTAATTCTTCATCACATTTGAAAGCAGGCCAGACTCAGCACGTGGGTCTCTACACAGTACAGAAAGGCCATCACGATGGTTTTAGATGCCTTTCACTTGTTTTTTATTCAAATGAGACCTCAATCTGGTTGATTTCCAATTTATTCAAAGAAGAAATTTCCCTCTTTATATTGGGTGTTGCTGATGCCTTCATACCAAGTGAGGGATAATGCGAGGCTCCCTCCTCACCCTTGCCAGCCCTGACTCTGACCACATCTTGGTCCGCCCAGTTGACTTGGATCATCTTTATTACATTCCCCTGGAGTAGATTCTGACACATGCACATCCAAACTAACTTGCCTTCCTAGACTGGGGTTAGGGTGGCAGATGGGGCTGTTCCCACTCCAGAAATCTTTCTTAGGAAAAGAAAGAATAGGAATAATCTCTTAACATTATGACAGTTCAGGCTTTTATAAACATTATAATGTTTATAAAACATTGTTTATATGTTTATAAAACATTGTCCCTTTAAGAAAAGCAGCGTTGAGGGGGTGCCTGGGTAGCTCAGTTGTTAAGCGTCTGCCTTCAGCTCAGGTCATGATCCCAGGGTCCTGGGATCGAGCCCTGCATCGGGCTCCCTGCTCCGCAGGAAGCCTGCTTCTCCCTCTCCCACTCCCCCTGCTTGTGTTCCCTCTCGCTGTGTCTCTGTCAAATAAATAAAATCTTTAAAAGAAAAAAAGAAAAGCAACGTTGAGGGGTGCCTGGGTGACTTGAACGGTTAAGCATCTGACTCTTGATTTTGACTCACGTCAAAATGGCTTAGATCATGATCTCAGGGTCATGAGATCGAGCCCTGAGCCCCACATTGGGCTCCATGCAAAGTGTGGAGCCTGCTTAAGATTCCCTCTCTCCTTCCCTCTGCCTCTCCCACCGCTCCCCTCTCCCCATCTCTTAAAAAAAAAAAAAAAGAGAGAAAGAAAAGTTGACTTAATGTTCAGTTATTTACATGAGTTGATACAATTTATGTAATCAACGTTTCACAAGCGTTTCACAAACATTTCAGTCCTGGGGTGCCTGGGTGGCTCAGTCATTAAGCGTCTGCCTTCAGCTCAGGTCATGATCCCGGGGTCCTGGGATCGAGCCCCGCATTGGGCTCTCTGCTCAGCGGGAAGCCTACTTCTCCCTCTCCCACTCCCCCTGCTTCTTTTCCCTCTCTCACTGTGTCTCTTTCTGTCAAATAAATAAATAAAATCTTAAAAAAAAAAGGTTTAAATCCACTCTGTAAGATTTAAAGCAACTGTCATAGAAAGGGGAAACCAACAGGGTAGTCAGTATTGGGATAGTTTCTCCCTCCCTAAGTATCCTTGGCTCTAGAAAGGAATGAATTAGTACCGTGTAGGGAGGGAAATGGTGTTGGTTCTGAGAGTTCTTCAGCCATTGGACTAGCCAGCAGGGAATTGTCTGTCTTCTGTTCCTAAATAAGAGCCTTACTGTGTTTGATAAAGGAAAGAGGCATTTGTTGGCGGGACTCTGGGGATTTTACTTGAGAGGTGCCAGCCGAGCCCCCCCTTGTCCTTTCAGCAGTTGCATTACTCTTCACTGCTTTCTGCGTCTGTCTTCCCACCACCATGCTCAGGTTCAGTGATTTGCTAAGACAGCCCTCTCAGAAAAGCTCTCCTACTTGGGGTTGCTGTTGGTCACAGTGAAAGGATAAAGTCAGGAAAAAGGTGCACAGCGGAGACTCGACATGAGCTGCCAGGTGTCCTCTCCTGTGCAGTCCTGTGGACGGAGCTTAAATCTCCCATGGATGACATGTGACAGCATCCACAGAGTATTGCCAACCACAGAAGGTCACTGTGCCTTGGTTTCCAGGGATTTTATTGGGGTTTGGTTACATGGCCATGGATTGGAGCTGCCTGCATGGTTGACCTCAGTTACTCGGTCTGCAGGCCCTCCAGAGGTCAAGTGGATAGCTCGGTCCTTGCTGTAAATCATGTTGTTAGCATAATGTCTGGCACAGCCCAAGTCTCCCAGGTAACCACAAGGATACTCTCACCACACAGGATATTCCAGGGGCTTAGAGATCTCCCAGAAACTGGTCAAGGGCCCAACCCTTGTTCGGAATGTGCCGAGTTTGAGCAACCTGGACTTGCTGAGTTAACCCTTTATTGCAAAGCACACTGGTTTACTTGGTTCAGTGATTTGTTTCTCACTTGGTTCAAGTTAGAACTTCTTGTGATGTCTGCCATCTAGGAATATGTGATTTGAGACAAGGATTAGTAGGGCTTCTGTTTTGATTAACAACTAATTGTGTTTATGTGCCTTTTCTTACAAGTTGTTCACATGCTTTATGGAAGTAGGTGGGGTACCTATGTGTGTATATGTATATACATGTATAGTAACGTATGTGCGTGTATACATACGTAGTAAGTCAGTGTTCATAATACTGGTAGTCAACAGGCAACTCAAAAATATTTCCTTATTCCTTTGTGCATTCTTTGAGCAGAAATGTGTTGAGCACCTGCTATGGGCCAGAGACTGTGCCAGGTACCGGAGACATAAGGATGAATGAGACGTGCTCCTTACAGAGCTCAAAGACCAGCAGCGAGGGGTGCCTGGGTGGCTCAGATGGTTAAGCGTCTGCCTTCGGCTCAGGTCATGATCCCAGCATCCTGGGATGGAGTCCCGCATCAGGCTCTCTGCTCCTTGGGAGCCTGCTTCTCCCTCTGCCTCTCTTTCTCTGTCTCTCATGAATAAATAAATAAAATCTTTAAAAAAAAAAAAAAAGACCAGCAGCGAGAATAGAAGTCACAGAAGTGATTCTAATGAGCTCCCACACATCAGGCCTCTTGTGGATCAGACGCCAGCAGGCACTCTAATGACCTCAACCACCCCCGAGGCTAGATGCTTGCTTCCCTGTCACAGATTAACAGCCAGGGAGATACCGTCCCCTGCTGATGGGCTCCCAGCCGGCACCCAGCAGAGTAGGAATGTTACCATGTCTCTTTTTTCCAGAGCACCATATTTCTGCAGTGATTCCTGCAGGTTCTTCAGAATGAATGAACATGTCTTGTGCTCTCTGGTGAGATTTGAAAACTGCCTCCCATAATAACCCATGTTTCTTGCTCAGGAGGAGCCGGGCAGGGCAGTAGCAGGCCCTCAGGAAGTGCGGCTTCTACGGAGTTGTTGCGGCGCAACTTTCTCAGCCCTCTTCTGGGCCAGGTGCATCTTCTCAGACCCCTGTCTTCTCCTCAGTGCCCGGAGGTGCGGCTGAACATCATCTCCAACCTGGACTGCGTGAATGAGGTGATCGGGATCCGGCAGCTGTCCCAGTCCCTGCTCCCCGCCATTGTGGAGCTGGCTGAAGACGCCAAGTGGCGAGTGCGGCTGGCCATCATTGAGTACATGCCCCTGCTGGCTGGACAGCTGGTGAGTGAGGTGGCTTGGGCTCAGGCCTTGTCGTGGGCAGTGTGTCCAGGGCTATGACAGTGTCACTGGGGCCTGTACGGGCTGTCTGGGGATTAGGAGGAAGGGGCACGGGCAATGGGGCTATAAAGGTGAGTAGACTTCAGTTAGAAAAGAGAAGGGAGAGGAGCCCCCCAGATGAAGCTGAGAAATACCCGATGTGTTTGGGTGGGGGTGTTTCCCTGGGGTATCGCTGGAAACTACCCAGTCTCCCTTGATTTCCTTAACCTTTTTTTCTTCTGAAGGGGGTGGAGTTCTTTGATGAGAAGCTCAACTCCTTGTGCATGGCCTGGCTTGTGGATCATGGTGAGTCTCTCCAGTAGGATGGGGGAGGGTGCTGGTGCTCCAGGAAGGATAGATGGGCATTGGCTGGGACCGGGAGGGGTGTGGAGTCACTCTCCCAGGCCAGCTGCTTATGTGGACCAACTCCTTGGCTTTTTAGAATCCTAGAGAAATGCAAGATGGGAGGGGGATAGAGCAGATCACGTAGGGGTGGCCTGGTACAGTAGAGAGAGAGTGTGAGGGCCACCGGGCAGATGACCTGGGCTGGAATCCTGCCCCCTGGCTGTGGAAGCTCAAGCACACGCCTTTGTGAAAGAGGGGGCTTCTCAGTCTTTCGGGGCTGTTGTGAGAACTGCTCATTGTTTTCACTGACGGGTAAAAATTGAAGTTAACAATGGTCTGTATCGTTACTGTTCCAAGTACTAATTACTGAATGATTTGCTTGGGCACATCACTTCTTAGAGCTGTAGTTTGCCCGTTTATAAAAGGCCAGTAGTGAAACCTGTGTCTTAGAGCCATTGGGAAGATAACCCTACCTTTAGCACATAGCAAACTGTTCGGTTCACCTGCAGCTTAGTACCTAGGTATGCGACTGCCTGTCACTCCCTGCCTGCTCACTCCTCCACCTCCTGAACCCCTGCCCTTCTGCAGTCTATGCCATCCGTGAGGCGGCCACCAGCAACCTGAAGAAGTTGGTGGAGAAATTTGGGAAGGAGTGGGCCCATGCCACTATCATCCCCAAGGTCTTGGCCATGTCTGGGGACCCCAACTACCTGCACCGTATGACTACGCTCTTCTGCATCAATGTGAGCGCCCCCACCTGCCCGCTGGCCTGTGCCCAGGGAACTGGGAGTACCTGGGAGAGGAGGGATGGCGGGCGTCCTAAGGAAGACGTCTGGCTTGGGAGTGGGGACATGGTGAGGTTTGGGGGGGTAGGGATGAGTCCCTGAGGAACTACAGGCCAGGGGGTGGGGACCTGCATGGTGGGAACCCCAAGACTAGGGAGGCTTGGCCTGCTGAGCAGTGACTGCCAAACCTTTCCAAGCATCCCTCTCCTCCACAAAGTGTATACGTATACTTGTTTATGATCATTGGTTTTGTGTGCAGGCTCTGGAGTCAGACCTACTCTTTAATTCTAGCTCTGCCATATATTAGTCACGGACCTTGGGACATTTCCTAACTGCTCGGGTGCTTTAGTTTTCTTACTAGTAGAGCACTCGTGCTGGTAATCACAGTACTCATGAGGTGGTGAAGATTAATCTGGCCGTACGTGCAAAGGGTTTAGAGCAGTTAATGTAATATGCAGCAAGGGTTCCTTTCTATTCATTTAAATAAACCATACACATAACTAAAAATTAAAAGATAGAATTTAAAAACATATAGGTAGAACTGAGTGTTCTCTGATGATTTCTTCCCACATCTCACCTTGGAGACCATCACACTAAAGGAAGGCATGCCAAGGGTTAGGAATCAAGCCCATCCCCAGAAGATAAAGAGAATTCTGAGGATGGGGGAATGGGACCAGGAGAGTCTGGGCTGGGGGTTTCCAGGACAAGGAGACAGTGGTATTTGGCATTAGTGGAGATGTTAGTTTCAGGAGAAGCAGCTGACCCCAGGGTGGGCGAACCTGGGCTCAGAATCCCCCATATTGCCCAGTGTCACCCTCAGGCCTGTTCATCCCTGAGGTGGCCTGGTCAGAGGAAGGGGGAAATGGGAGTTAGCCATGAACTTTGTATAATCACCCCTCTGTTGCTCACCGCCCCCAGGTGCTGTCTGAGGTCTGTGGGCAGGACATCACCACCAAGCACATGCTGCCGACAGTCCTGCGTATGGCTGGGGACCCTGTCGCCAACGTCCGCTTCAATGTGGCCAAGTCCCTACAGAAGATAGGGCCTATCCTGGACAACAGGTGAGGCTTGGATCCTCCCTCACACGCTGGTGGGACTGGTTCTAGGCATCCTAATCTTTGACCTTTGAAGTTGGAGCCTAGGGTTTGAGACCCAGTGTATGTCTTCGCTTACTGTGTAAACTTGGCTTATCTCTTCACCTTCCCAAGGTCGTAGTTTCCTCAGATGTGGAATGAGAATTCCCATGGCCTATCTCATAGTGGGAGGGGACAGTGGGGTGGCAGTTCTATATACTAGTAGCAACATGTTAGAAAATGAAATTAACAAATATAAATTATTTTTGCATATGTATGCAATTTGTTGCACCAAAATCATCAAATACCAGGGAATAAATTTAATGAGAGGTGTATCACATCTTTAGTGAAAACTATGAAACACTGCTTTGAGAAATTAAAGATCTGCTTAATATTCATGCATGGGATGGTTCCCCAAATTTATGTATGGATTCATTATAATCTCAGTCAGTCTTAGCAAATCCTTTACTGAAAATTTGACAAGTTGATTCTGAAGTTAACATGGAAATGAAAAGATCTGGAGTAGCAAAGGTGGTCCTAAAAAAGAAAAAAGTTGGAAGACTTCAACTACCAGATACCAAGACTTAGGACGCCACAGTAATTAAGAAGTGAGGTGTTGGCACAATGATACAGCCCAAAGAAACAGAGTCAAGGGCACAGAAACAGACCCATGTGTATATAACAGTAGGTACCACTGCAGTTCAGGAGGGAGATGTAGGTATTTTCATACATGACTGGGTCAATTGGATATGCATGTGGGGGTGGGAGGAACCTCCCACTTGGGTACATAAGCAAATTAGAGTTAACAGACCAGAATCAGAAAAATAAGTAAAGATTCTGGAAGAAAACAGGACAACATCTTTAAGACTTGCAAAGATTTGTTTAAATTGCTCAGATTTGTTAAATAGCTCCCCATGGGAAAAGGCTGATGAGCTCACCTTGAGTAAAAGAACTTCATTGAGGGAGAACATTATGAGAGTAAAATGGTGAGCCACTGATGGGGGGAGGACGTATTTGTAATACATTTTTCTGACAAAGGACTGATTCATCCAGAGTACTTTCCTACTAGTCAATTAGACAAATGCAAGAGATAGGCAAAACCCAACTTGAACAGGTACTTCCAAAAGAAGATCTCCTCGTAGCCAATATGTACATGACAAGGTGCTCAGCATCATCAGTCATTGGGAAATTGTAAATGAAAAGACCCCAGGGGGCACCTGGGTGGCTCAGTCGGTTAAGCCTCTGCCTTCTGCTCAGGTCATGATGCTGGGGTCTTGGGATCGAGCCCCTCAGCAGGGAGCCTGCTTCTCCCTTTCCCAATCCCCCACTTGTGCACTCCCTCGCTCGCTCTCTGTCAAATAAATAAAATCTTTAGAAGAGAAAAGGACACCCCAGAATGGCTAACCTTAAAAAAACTCAGGGTCATTTGGTGTTGGTAGAATGGCTGGAATTCTCATACACAGCAGATGGGGCTGTAAGTGGTAAATGGGTACAGTCACTGAAAACTGGTAGAATCTAACGAAGCTAAGAATGTGTTCACTGTGAGCTGGCACAACATGTCTATTTCTGGGCATATATCCAAGAGAAGTGAGTGCTTATTTCTAGCAAAAGGATGTTTGTGGTAGCTTTCTTCATGTTAGCCATGAACTGGAAACAGCCCAAGTGCCTGTCCACAGTACAGTGGATAAACTGTGGTTTGTTCCTACAATTGGAGACTGTTCAGTGATGAAGACTCTTGCTCTGCTTAACAACACAGATGATTCTCACCAACCTCATGTTCAGTGAGAAGCCAGACCCAAGAAAACATAGTCTGTGATTCCATTTATATCAAGTTCAAAAATAGGCAAAACGGATCTAGATGGTAGAAGTAAGAATGGTAGTTGTATGGGGCAGAGGAACAGTTTGTTAACTGAAGGGGACATGCCTTCATTTCTCCCAAACACCTGACTTTCAGTGCAGGTAGATTTCCTAGGGCCCCTTACGTGAGAGTAGATACCTCCCCTTGGCTCCCATTGGGCCAGGTACTTCTTTGGCACTTGACGCTTCTCTGTTACTTATGGTCAGTTTGGTCTGTGTCTTCCTTCTAGCCCAAGCTCTCCATGGGCAAGAATCAGGTGTTGGATTTACCACTCTGCTCAACCTAATGCAGAGTAGGCCTCAGTAAATACTTTAAATAAAGACATCCATTTGCTGAGCCTCAGAGACCTGTGGGTCCTGTTATTCTGTGCCCCACTTTCCCAGACTGTCTGACCTCCCTTTGCCTATTCTGGATCACTGAGACCTCTGTTCTAGTTTGTTATTAGACTTCCAGCCTACAAAGTACTTTCATCTCTGGGCTCACATGCCGTCTGTGTGTGTGAACCCCTCCTTGCCCAGGAGCCCTCTGCCTGCGTTGTGCCCTCCTGCCCAGCTTGGCTCACCCCTTTCCTTGCCTTCCCTTTGTCCTTCCAGCACGCTGCAGAGCGAAGTCAAGCCCATCCTAGAGAAGCTGACCCAGGATCAGGATGTGGATGTCAAATACTTTGCCCAGGAAGCTCTGACTGGTAAGGCGTGAACTCGGAGACCCCATTGGGAGGGTGGTCTGCAAGGATGGGCCTAGGCCTGAGAACAGCAGCTCCTGGGAGGGGGATATGCAGGAGCACTTATGGGCAGAGGGCTAGCTGTGGTTCTGACTCCCTCCTGTTCCTGTTCCCCCAGTTCTGTCTCTCGCCTGATGCTGGAAGAGGAGCCAACGCCGGCCTCTGGTGTCCACCCTCCCCCCCCCAGGTCCCTTCCTTGGGGAGACAGTGGGGGGACTTTGGCTGTCACTCCCTGTGCATGGTCTGACCCCAGGCCCCTTCCCTCAGCACGGTTTTTCCTCTCCCCAGCCTGGGAATCTGACTTCTCACTGCCCACCTCCCAAGAGGCTTGGGGGAGCCCAGGTGGGACAGGGCAGTGACCCTGGGAGGAAGGGGCCACTTCTGCTCGCAGGGGAGAGATGTGAGCGTCCCAGGTCACTGGCTCCTGCTGCTGTAATGGGGACCCCCTACCCCATCTACTTCTCCACCTCCTTTCTCCCTTCTTCCTTTCCTTATACCCACCCCCCCAGTGGGTTTTTTTTGTGTGTCAACTGTGCTGTTTTTATTTTATTCCTGTTTTCCCTTTTCACAGAGAAATAAAGGTCTAGAAATAGCTGGTGCTCTGGTTTTAGTCAATAGCATGGAGGGGGGTGCCACACCAGGAGTGCAGCTGGCCTCCAGGATAGAGAGTCCATGAGGTTTCTGGCTAGGAGAGTCCGGTGGTGCAGCTAGTTTCACAGACGTTAGTCAAGTATGTGGTGGTTCAGAGCAGGTGCCTTGGAGTCAGACTGCCTGGGTCCAGAGCCTAGTTCTTTTAATTAATGGCTGTGTGACCTTTAGTAGGTTACCCAGTTTCTCTAACTCAGTTTTGTACCTTTAAAATGAGAATAATGATAGAATCTAAATCGCAGCGTGAGACTAAATGAGTTAATACATGTAAAGTGGATAACTGTGCTGCATGGCATGTGAGAAGCAGTCAGTTGGAGTCAGCTGTAAGTTGCTGGAGAGCCCCCTGTGGGTCAGGCTCTGTCCCTGAGGAAGTCCCAGGAAAATCAGGGTTGTAACAGGGAATGGGAAGGGGACTGGCAAGATGGGAACCCATTTCCCTCAATATCTGTGCTCCCATTTCTTCACTAATTAATAGAGACACTGATTTGTAGCAGGGCACATGTGTGCCTGACTTCAAGGCATTTTTCCAGGTCTCTGGACATTCAGTGTGGTGCTATGACTAAATTCTGGCCAATAACATGTGAACAGAAGTGGTGTGTGCTGCCTCTAGGAAGTGTTCCTAAGGGAGGAGGTATATGCCCCCTGCGTTTCCTCCTTCCTGCATCTGGACTGTAGACCAGATGGCTGGAGCGGGAGCAACCGTCTTGGGCCAGGAAGTGATCTTAGGAGCATAGGCCCAGCAAGGTGGCAGAACAAGATAAGAGGAGCCTGGGTCCCTGGTGCTGTGAAAGCCCACACCAATATTGGTTACCTGGGAGAGTTAAACTGTTTGAGTGACTGTTCATTTGGGGTTTCATCACTTGCAGGTCACCCGAATTCTAACTGATGCAGGGGCCAAAGAGCCCCGGAGAGAGGAGCAGGAGACTTAGTGGATGGTGGTACGTGTAAGGTTTCACAAAGGATGTGATACTGAGTGAAATTTTGCTCAACAGGGTGGAGGGGAAATTGGCACTGGGTGGCAAAGTGATATTCCTGGCTCAGCCCTCATGTTACTGAATCCTTACTGATTGTTAGGCCCAACTGTTCTGGGGGATGAGGGGTAGGAGATCCTGTTCCTCCCATTATTCGCTTATGTTAGTTTCATAAGAGAAGGACCTGTGGTTTAAGTTTGGTCCCCCACCCTACACCCAACACAAATGTACCGTACTTTCCTAGGATATAAATACTTGAAGGACTCACTGAGTGAAGAATTGATGAGTTTGGGAGGTGGGGCAGTGTGGTCAGCCTGATGAATGAAAGTTCAGTTGGCAATCCACCACTAATTCCTAAAAGGACATTCAAATGAATGCTCCATCGTGTTTCATTTATATTTTACTGGATAACAACCCACCCCCAAAAATTAGTGATTTAAAACAATGAAAATGTATTATTCCTCATAATTCTGCAGTCTGAGCTCAGCTCAGTTGGAAGATTCCTCTGCTCCATACGGTATCTACTGGGGCTGGAATGTTCAAGACAACTTCTTCACCCCCATGTCTGGGAGTACCACCTCAGCTGAGGCCTGGTACACCATCTCTCACTGTGGCCTCCCCAGGGTGGCTGGATCTCTTTATCTGATGGCTTATGGTTCCAGAGCTGTTTCCAAGAGAACAAGTCCCAGTTTACAAGTGCTTTCAAACCTCTGCTTGCATCACAAGCTGAAACAAGTCACGTGGCCAAGTCCAGAGTCAGTGCAGGAGGTGACCTCGCAAGATGTGGAAACCTAGAGGTGTGGTTCACTGGGGGATGCCAATGTGACAGTCGGCCACACATGGTCCAGAGAGAAACTTTGGGCTCCATCTTTGCTCTGCTACAGGCAGGTGGAGGCATCAACAGCATAAGGAGACAAGGCCGATTACAGAGTATATCGAGCGTTTGGAGCAAGCTGAAGATTTAAACTTTATCCTGGAAGCCAGAGCAGCCACACGGGTTTTTGGTAAAGGACTGACAGTATCAGAATTGAAGGGGGAGGCCTGAAGCCAGGAAACCTGGGAGAATATGGTCTAAGCAAGAGAGGAGTTTTGAGCTGGAGGCAGGTACCATGCAGTTGGGGAGGTTGTAGGTAAAAAGGGAAACAAAGCTTCCCAAGGAGACAGATTGGGACTTGGTGACACTTGGATAGGGGAGTAAAGGGAAGGATGCAGTCATCTTGGCAACCAGGATTCAAGGCTTCTGAGATTCACCTGGGAAAGGAGGGTTCCTGCAAACCCACATGTACTTCAGCATCTCCAGCCTTTGAACCTCTTCCTGGAAAGCTTTCCCTCCTCGCTTCTTGGGAAACAGAAGTAATTCAGTACGGAGAGTGGGGAAAGAGGTGGAGTGGCATAGGGGAGCATGGATAAGTGTGTAGGGGCCAGATCTTGATGAGCCTCCAAATACCGGGAAGGGATTGAATGTGACCCAGAGGGACCAGATGGAGTAAGACTTGGCTGGGGGTGGGGGGGGGCAGGGGATCTTTCCAGGGTCAGATGAGGTCAGGGTGCCGCGGAGGAGGCTGGGATGATGGTCCTGGGGGCAAGGGAAGGAAGGTGGGTCTGGGGCTGAGGAGAGTATGCAGAGACATTGAGGAGGTGGCTTTGAGGCCACTTCTGCTTTTCAAACCCACAGGAAGTTACAAGAGAAGCAGCTGGAAGGAAGGTCCTGTTGCTCTTCTCTTTTCAGATTAATCAAAACATGAAGTCTCAACACATGCCCTGTCATCAGCCCTCCTGTCTCGAGGAAATCCCCACTCAAGCCACTCCCTTTAGTTCTTCCCTGTCCAGCTATGTTTTCCAGATGAGGACACAGACCCAGAGTGTTTTGGGTGTCTGATGTGGGCTCTTACGGACTTACCAGATCAGAACTCAACAAATCTCTCCCAGAAGAAAAAAATGCCTTAATTTCCTCTGGTAGCTTAAGATCCTTTTAGGGCCCAGCCAAGGACGGAAGCTGGCCCTACAAGCTAGATGAGAAGAAGCAGGGCATGGCTGGCCCTATAGGAAATTGGAGTCCTAATCTCTTAACCATGATGCAAAATGTAGAAATCCATGGTAGGCTTTTTAATGAGTTATTTGGGGCAAAACCTGATCTGAGCTACTATAGTAGCAAAACCCCCACTTAGACTTTAAGAGTTTTTATCCCTCTTGCATGGAATACACACCACAGCCAGAAATAGTGTCTTGGGAATATATGGAATGTATTCAATTAGTAATCAAAGGACTGTCCACAGAAGTCTGGGCCCAGATGGCTTCAGTGAATTCTACCAAAACATTTAAAGGATTAATACCAATTTTTCACAAACTTTTTCAGAAGTAGAAGAGGAGAGAACACTTCCCAACTCATTCTGAGGCCAGCATTAGTGTAATATGCCCTATCAATAAAAGACAACATGATCATCTCCATTGATGCTAAAAAAAAAAAAAAGCATTTAACAAAATCCACACTTTTCACGATAAAAACACTCAATAAACTAGAAATAGGAATTTCCATAACCTGGTAAAAGGTATCTACAAAAACCCACACATAACATAATAATGGTAAAAGATTGGGTTCTTACCATATAAGATAAGCGAGACAAAAATACCCACTCCTGCCACTTCTTTTCAGCATTGTAGTAGTAGTTCAGGGTAATTAGGCAAAAAAATAAAAGAAAAGGCATGCAGATTGGAAAGGAAGAAGTAGAACTGTATTTGCGGATGACATGATCATGTATATAGGAAATCCTAAGGAATCCACTAAAAAAAAAAAAACAGTAAACAAGTTCAGTAAGATTGCAGGACACAAATATACAAAAATAATTTGTATGTCTGTACATTGGCAGATAATGTTGGTAAGTAAGTGGAGATACTGGAATCCTCATACACTGCCAGTGGGAATGGAAAATGGTGCAATCACTTTGGAAAGCAATGTGGCAGTTCCACTGAGTTACCATTTTGCCCACCTATTGTACTTCTAGGTATATACCCAAGAGAATTGAAAACCTATGTCCCCATAAGAACTTATACACAAATACTGATAACAGCATTCTTCACAATAGCCAAAATGTGGAAACTACCCAAATGTCCATCAACTGATGAAATGTAGTGTATCCATATAATGGGTATTAGCCATGAAAATGAATGAAGGATTGGGGTGCCTGGGTGGCTCAGTCAGTTGAGTGTCTGACTCTTGATTTTGATTCAGATCATGATCTTGGGGTCATGAGATAGAGCCCTGTGTAGGGCTCCCCGCTCAGCAGGGAGCCTGCTTGAGATTCTTTCCCTCTGTTCCTCCTCCTGTTCACGCTCTCTCAAAATAAATCATTTAGAAAAAGTGAAGTATTGATACATGCTACAACATGGATGGATTTTGGAAACATCTCATGAAAGTAGCCAGACACAAAAGGCCAAGTATTATTGTAGGATTCTGTTTTACTTGTACCTTTGGTATCATATCTGAGAAATCATTGCCAAATCTAATGTCATGAAGGTTTTGACCAATGTTTTATTCTAAGAGTTTTAGGTCTTTGATGCATTTTGAGTTAATTTTTGTATATGGTGTTAGGTAGGAATCCAACTTCATTTTTTTGGCCTGTGGGTATTCAGTTATCCTAGTACCATTTCTTGAATAGCCTTGGCACTCTTAAAAATCATTTGACCATAAAGGCAAGTACCACACTACCTTGATTACAGGAGCTTTGTTTTGAAATCAGGAAAGTGAGTTCAGTACAGTAGCTTTGTTCTTTTTCAAGATTGTTTTGGTTATTGAGGGTCCCTTAAGATTCCATATGAAGATTAGGATGGGTTTTTCTATTTCTGCAAAAGACATCATTGGGGTTTTGATAGGGATTGCATTAAATCTGTAGATTGCTTTGGGTAGTAGTGACATTTTAGCAATAGTCTTCCCATCCATGAACATGGGATGCATTTCCATTTATTTTATATGTTTAATTCTTTGAGAAATGTTTAGTAGTTTTCATTGTAGAAGTCTTTTACCTTTGGTTAATTCCTTATTCTTTTTGATGCTATTGTAAATGAAATTGTTTTTATAATTTCCTTTTCAGATTGTTCATTGCTAGCATATAAAAATGCAACTGATTTTTCTGTTGACTTTTTATTTTGCTAGTTTGGTGAATTCATTTATTCTAACAGTTTTATTCTGGAATTTTTAGGCTTTTCTACATAGAAGATTTTATCATCTGCAAACATAATTTTACTTTTTCCTTTCCAATTTGGATGCCTTTTTTTCTTACAGATTTCCTCTGTTTAGGACTTCTAGTACTGTGTTGAATAGAAGTGATGAGAGTGGGCACCATTGTTCTTAATCTCAGAGGAAAAGCTTTACTTTAACTCTTGAGTATGTGATAATTGGCTGTGGGCTTTTCATATATAGCCTTTATTTTGTTGAGGTGCATTCCTTCTATACTCAGTTTGTTGAGAGTTTTTATCATGAAAGGATTTTGAAGTTTGTTAAGTGCTTTCTACAGTTACTGACATGATCATCATTTTTATCCTTCATTCTGTTAATGTGGTCTATGACATTTGTTGATTTGCTTATGTTGAACCATCCTTACATCCCAAGGATAAATCTTACTTGATTATGGTGTATGGAACTTTTTATGTGCTTTTGAATTGGGTTTGCTAATAATTTGTTGAGGATTTTTGCATCAGTATTCATCAGGTATATTGACCTGTAGTTTTGTTTCCTTATAGTGTCCTTCTCTGGCTTTGGTATCAGGGTCATGCTGACCTTGTGAAATGAGTTTGGGAGTGTTCCCCCCTCTTCAGTTTTTTGGAGGAGTTTTAGAAGAACTGGTGTTAATTCTTTAAATGTTTGGTAGAATTCACGGGTGAAACGATCTGGACCTGGGCTTTTTTTTGTTGGGTTTTTGATTGCTTATTCAGTCTCTTTATTCGTTATTGGTCTGTTCAGATTTTCTGTTTCTTCATTATCCAGTCTTGGTAGGCTTGTATGTATCTAGGAATTTATTTCTTCTAGATTATCTGGTTTGTTAGCATATTATTTTTCATAGTGATTTCTTATGATCCTTTGTATTTCTGTGGAATCAGTTGTAATGTTTCCTCTTTCGTTTACAATTTTTTTGAGTCCCCCCCCTTTTTTTTTTTTGGTTTGTCTAGCTAACAATTTGTCATTTTCTTAAAGAAAAAAAAAACCCTTAGTTTCAGATTTTTTTTTTCTATTGTATTTCTTGTCTCTATTACATTTAGTTCTGGTCTACTCCTTATTATTTCCTCCCTTCTGTTAAGTCTTAGTTTGTTCTTTTTTTTTTTTTTTTTTTTAGTTTCTTGAGGCATAATGTTACATTGCTTATATGAGATATTTTTTCTTAATGTAGGTATTTATTACTATAATCTTCCTCTTAGAACTGCTTTTGCTGCATCCTATAACTTTTGGTATGTTGTGTTTCCATTTTCATTTGTCTCAGTATACTTTCTGATTTCCCCTTTTGATTTTTTTTTGACTTGTTGATTGTTCAGGAGTGTGTTAATTTTCACATTTCTGTGAATTTCCCAGTTTTCCTCCTTTTACTGATTTCTAGTTTCATGCCATTATGTTTCAGAAAAAATACATGATATGATTTCAGTCTTCTTAAATTTGTTAAGATGTGCCTTATAGCCCAACATATGATATGCCTTATAAAATGCTCCATGTACGCTTGAAAAGATTTTATTCTAGGGCTGTTGGATGGAATGTTCTATATATGTCTGTTAGGTCCATTTGGTCTATAGTGTTCTTCATGTCTGCTCTTTCCTTGCTGATTTTCTGCTGGATGATGCATTAGTGTTGAAAATGGGGTATTGAAGTTCCTTACTGTCATTGTATTATTGTCCATTTTTCCCTTCAGGTCTGTCAGTATTTGCTTTAAATACTGGGGTACTCTAATACTGGGTTATATGTATGTATATTTGTTGTAGCCTCTTGATGAATTGACCCCTTTATCACTATATGTTGACGTTTTTTGTCTCTTATGACTGATAATGACTGAAAATCTGTCTTATCTGATGTAAGTATAGCTGCTCTTACTCTCTTTGGTTTCCATTTGTATGGAATATCTTTTTCCATTCCTTCACTTTCAGCCTATGTGCATCCTTTCTTCTGCTCTAGACTGTTGTTCAATATCTGTAGTAAATTTTTCAGTTCCTTTGTTCTGATTCTTCAGCTCCAAGATTTCTGTTTGATACTTGTATTTTCTCTTTGTTGAAATTCTCTTTGTTCATGCACTGTTCTCCTGACTTGATTGAGTAACCTGTGATGGTTATTTTGAACTCTTTGTCAGGTAAATCATATATTTACATTTTATTAGGGTTGGTTTCTGGAGATTTATCTCCTTCCTTTGTTTGAGATATGTTTCCCTGTTTCATCATTTTCCTTGACTCTGTGTTGGTATCTGTGCATTAGGGAAAAAACAGCCACCTGTACCAGTCTTCATGGACTGGGCTTGTAGATTTTGGGAGCCTCTCAAATCTTCACACAGTAGTCCGAACTACTATCTTTGTTGTAGTGGCCCCAGACATCTAAAATATGCTGAGTCCTGTCAGTCTGAGAGAGGTGAGACAGAAGCCAGTCTTTCAGGCATCCCCCAGAGAAGTTGGGACTTTGGACATACAGTCCACTCTTCTCTGCCCAGGGAGAATGTGGAATCTAAACTTTTTCTTCTGTTCACACTGCGTTGAGCTGGAAGAGGAGTTACGTTGCCTGCTTATATGCTTGTTTAAACCTCTCTTTATTCCCTTGGCCTCCAGGCATCTAGAGTATACCAGGTTCCATCAGCCCTCTGAGACAGAAGACAAACCAATCCCTTGGGCAGCCCTTGGAAAAGTTGGAACTTTGGTTGTGTGATACAGCTCTTTCTTCCCTCAGGGACGCTGGGAGCTGTGCCAGGGGTAGGGATTATGGCAAGAGTGTCTCAGATTTTCCTACCAGCCTCAGTGTGACTGGTTTGACGCTCACCCAGGATGCAGGAACCTCTCAACTAGTTTATGGCTTTCAAACAAAAGGAATGCATCTGTTTTTTGTTGTTGAATCACTGTGTCTGTTGGGGAAAGGAGGGTTCTGGGCATTCTGACACCACCCTCACAGGCACATTTCCTTGTTTCCAACAGCCTTTGGCTGTTCACTGGTAAGAGAAATGTAGGTATAATGCTTTTCATTCACCCAGTTTCTGTCAGCCTTGATAACTCCTCAGTTATCCTACCGGAAGGAGAATAAAAACAAACTAGTCAAGCTGTTTGTTTCAGGCCTGCCTCTCACTGCCTGGGTTAACATCACACACCAACCACAAGACTAAAATGAAAATGACAGAAAATACTAGGCATGGATAAAGTTGTGTATAAACCAGGCGTGTCATACACTTTTGGTGGGTATGAAATTTGTACAAACTTCTTGAAAACTGGCTGTTATCTCCAAAAGCTGAGTAGATGTAAACCTGTGACCCAAAAGTTCCTCTATCAAATATGTACCCAAAAGAAATTTATACATGTATCACCAAGCCACATTGTAGAATTTACATACCAGTGCTATCTATTCATGATAGCCCCAAAATGAAACCCACTCACATGCATGGACAGAAGAATGATTAAATTGGTTGATTGATTAAAAAAAAATTGATGTTCACACAATGGAATTCTGTCACCAATAGCATGAAAAAAACCCAAACAGATAAATTAACAAACATGGAATTTTATTTTTTTAAAAAGATTTATTTACTTGAGAGAGCGGTCACTCATGCGAGTGGGGAGAGGGACAGAGAGAGAGGGAGGGAGACTCCTAAGCATACTCCCCACTGAGCATGGAGCCTGACATGGGGCTCAATTCCACAACCCATGAGATCATGACCTAAGCTGAAATCATGAGTTGGACACAACCAACTGAGCCACTCAGGTGCCCCCAAACAAGGAATTTTAAAAGCCAAATACAAAAGAGTTCATGCTGTAGGATTCTGTTCATTTGAATTACAAAGAGGTGAAATTGATGTATGCAGTTAGATGTCACAATAGTGGTTACTCTTGGGGATAGTAACTGGGAGGGCATGAGGAAACATCCATAAGGTTATCAGTGTTTTCTTTTTTAATCTAGGATCTATACACAAGTGTGTTCAGTTTGTGAAATTTGAGTGAGCGGTGCACTCATGAGCTATGCATAAAAAATACTTTTTAATACATATCAGCAACTAAAAGAAATTAGTTGTAAGAAGGTAAATAGGTTAGTATTCAGTGACCTTATATTGTCAAGGTGGAGGTTGTTTTTACAAGTATTGTGCAAATTCTGGGTTGAAATCTAAGATACTAAATCTACAGCACCTCAAAAAAGGTAAAATGTGGAATTATTAACACAGAAGTCAACCTAGAATAAACTAGAACAGGTACCATGAAGCACACATAATAAGTTGGTAAATGTTTTCCAAATTTGCCCATTGTTAAACATGAAAGACTAATCCTGTTAAAGTCAAATGTTTGACTACATTCATTTAGATATTTTTATCAAGAGATAGAACTAGGACATAAGAACTAAAGTACATAAATGAAAAATACATTTCATATATGTTAAGGTAATCAACTAGAAGGGCAAGATAAGTATTTTGAATTTTACATTCTTATATACAATTTTCCAATATTATTGTGGGTGGGTGATCATAATCAGATTGATATGAACACACATGAATGTGTAAACACACGCACACATTTTATAATATACAAATATGTGCACGTGTGTGTGTTTACCACCACTCTTGTAATTTCACTGTTTCCTACGATTTTGAGGGGGATGAGTGAATGAATGACTGAATATTGGGTGAAACCCTCAGTTTACATTTTCCTCCTAGACGAGGGACTTTGTATTATGTAGGCAAGGCAGAGCATGGATACACTGTGCTCATGGCTTATGAACAGACAGTTGGGAAACTGTGATTACTGAAGTGGTGCTCCCGAAGATCCAGTTGGGATTATCAAAAACAGACATAATGACTTGAAAGATGGAGGAGAGGATGTTAAAGTAGACAAAGGTGCTCACCAGGAGAAAGATGGTTTTGGTGGCTGTGGACTCAGATGATGTGGAGGAGACGCTGGTCCTGTGAATGTGTTGGACCTTCTGTTTGTGCCTGTCCAGGATAAAAACCATGCGGCTGCTGGCCCAGAGCCTGAGCCCCAAACACAGCACATCAGGGGATGATAACAATGCTGCATACAATGAGTCTCTGGCTTTGTCATGACGAACCGAAGAACAGTATTCAAAATCTGTTTGCGATGTTTTTGTTGCTCCATTTACCGGTGATACACATAAGAAAAATTGTGTTTACCAGCCTGTGCAGGATCCAGCACAGGGCTGTGGAGGTGCTTATGTACTTGGGAGCTTTCGCTTTAAGCCCTCTCCACCTGGAGTTCCTGGGACTGAGCATGATGGCCTGGAAGACACTCCAGAAGCAGGTGCTACCCTTGGACACAACCCTGCCCACTCTGTGAACATACAAAAAAAGTTTGCATCCAAAATCATTGAGGAAATGTCTCAACCCAAAAGGTATCGTTATGTGGGGACTCCTTTAGGCAGAAAGCCCAAGGAGTTGGCTATAATCAGGGGCTTGAGAATCAAATCTATGGACCTTGGCCTGCACCCAGTAAAATAAAGGATGATATAATGGTAAAGAAGAGAGAAATTGCCCTGGATTCCAGCCATAGTCTATGATGAAATCATCCCCACTGCCAAATCCCCAACAGTCATCTTGTCAGTTCCCAGTGACTAAGTTTATCTTCTGAGCTAAAGGATCTTGAATGGGCGCAGGTTAGGTGTATCATGTCAACTGAAATCCATTATTCTCCACTTACTATTAGTTCCACTAAGAAATGTTGACTTAATGTTTTTCTTTTACTAAGAGTTTTCCGCAGGTTGAATGTGTAACTTTTAAAGAGCCCTTATAAGGTAAAATCACTTCTGTGAAGGCACCCATGTGAGAACTTCTTCATGCTTCACGAATCTATGAGGCTGGCACCACTGTGGCTGTAACTAAAAGATGAAGAGAACAGATACACAGAGAGGTTAAGTATTTGTCAAAATCTGCTTAGGGCAGAGCAGAGACTTGAAATGGGTTGTGCTGTGTCAAAATTCCAGAAATAGTGGAATTAAAACACCCTAATCAACAAATAGTATTCAGTAAGACTTCATTGTGTATATGAGAACTGTTGATGAACAGGGAGCTTTCAAACTTAAAACCTATGAAGGTTGGGGGCATAATGTGCCAGGATGGCTTATAAAGTGATTACAATGATTGGTTATTACAGGGGGCTTTCCAGATGACAAGGGATTGCTTAAAAGTGATTATCTTACTCCTTTTTTTAGGAAGATAAATTTTTAATGATTATCAGAGGCATTCACAAGGAATAACCTATGTTTTGCTTATTATGTTCATGAAATAAGCTAGATTTTAGTTTTTCTTATGTGGCTTAAAGGGTTTTGTCTGCTCAGGGAATTTTTAAGTCCGGTATCCATTTTATAGTTAATTTCATAGCTGGTAACAAAGATATTGCATTAAACTGCCATCCTCTATTAAAAGCTAGTTTGTACTACTAGGTATTTACCCCAAAGATACAGAGGTAGTGAAAAGAAGGGCCATATGCACCCCAGTGTTCACAGCAGCAATATCCGCAATAGCCAAACTGTGGAAGGAGCCGAGATACCCTTCAGCAGACAAATGGATAAAGAAGATGTGGTCCATAGATACAATGGAATATTACTCAGCCATCAGAAAGGATGAATACCACCATTTGCATCGACACGGGTGGAACTGGAGAAATAAGTCAAGCAGAGAAAGACAATTACCATATGGTTTCACTCATGTGGAACATAAGAAATAGTGCGGAGGACCGCAGGGGAAGGGAGGGAAAACTGAATGGGAAGAAATCAGAGAGGGAGACAAACCATGAGAGACTCAGGAGTCCAGGAAACAAACTGAGGGTTTCAGAAGGGAAGGAGTGGAAGAAGCTGGGTGATGGGTATTAAGGAGGGCCCGTGTGGTGATGAGCACTGGGTGTTATACGCAATTAATGAATTTTTAAACACTACATCAAAAACTGATGTATTATGTGTTGGCTAATTGATCATAATTAAAAAAAGGAAAAAAACCATCTTCCAACCTTGTGTTTAAAAAAAAAAATAGTTAGCTGTGTTCATCAAATAATCCAGATCTATATTTAGTTTTGATTTTACACCTTGTCATTTGACTTTAGATTTTTGTTATTGTAGCGTTGGATGTAACAAGTTTCCATTTTGTAAAGATTTATAGGCCAGTATCAGTAATGAATAAAGCTTTAGATATTTTAATAAATGTAGATGAACTGTTGGCAGAGTACTGCAGGAACCTGCTCCATCACAAGGTATGTGTAATGGATGTAAGACTGGCTTGATACTAGGATGACAACAAAAAGATTCATTCTTATATCAAGAACGCAGGTATAATGGTACCTATCATAGGACGTGTTGAATAATCACATTATTCCTTACGTTTGGGGACATAAAACACTAATACACGATAAAATACTGTAGGCTAGAAACGAAATTATTAATTTTAGATCACATATTTACCTATGAATACCTGAATTATGTAAAATTACTTGCAACAATGCAATATTCATAAATGATATGACACGCAAAATGGCATGTGCAAGGCACGAAATTTTGTGCATTTTGTAAGTTGATACAGATTTTTGGACTGTTATGAGAATATAAATAGTAGACTTTATTTTTTCCATCAGTTTTAAGCTCACAGCAAAATTGAGTGGAAGGTACAGGGATTTCCCATATACTCCCTGTCAGTCCCGCACTAGAGTGGTACCTTTGTTACGATCTATGAAAATATTTTCAAACAGGTGAAAACAAGATGATATGAGCCAGACAGTTGTGTGAAACACGTAATTATTATATTAACCCTTCCTTTGGTGTTCCTCCCTAAATTTAAGAAGGAAAATAGCCTTACCATAATCAGTAGACTGCAGTGTTTTCAAGAGACAATTACGGTCTCCGTTAATTGTCGCCAGAGTGAGAGAAAACTTTTCCATTCAAGCCATTACCATTTGGATACACTTTCTGCACAGGATCAGATGATTCCTATAAATTCTATCATAAGCATGGAGGTGTTATAGATGTACCTCTAGTAATCCTGAAGTTTTGGTCTATGATTCCTGTAAAGTAGGCTGAGTAGCAGATTGATTTTACCACTACATCCTTAAGCATCTTAAAAATCAGGTTTTATTATTCCTTGCATTAAACATCAACAATCACTGTCACCGGTTGATGGATATTAAGGAGGGCACGTGTTGTGATGCGCACTGGGTGTTATACGCAACTAATGAATTGCTGAACACTACATCAAAAACTAACAATGTACTGTATGGCTAACTGAACATAAAAAAAAAACAGTCACTGTCAGGATTATATTACATTGCATTAGGTGCCATCAGGTAGGGTCTAGGACTCCCATCTCTCTTTACTAGCTCACTCTGTTCCTCAGGAATTAATTCTTCCTCTGTGCTTCGGCACTGGACCAGATTCAAAACCAGAGAATGTCTTTTTCTGATTTGATCACTTACGCGGAATCCCAATATGCCTCCTTCCGTTACAGGCTACGCCTCTCAGACTGAAATAGAAAATACCTGCTTGACTCTTTCCTGCTGTCAGGAGGGTGGGCTCAGTGTGGTGGTCACTACAGGCAGAACATAGGTAGACAGACCCTGACGTACAGGTTTGTGATTCTGTGAGGTAATCTCCCTCAGAACTGCAATTATCATTTCATCTGTGTCTGGGAGTGTAGGCTTGGGAGTTGACAATATTTCTGAAAACTTTTTCTGATTGCTAATTACCAAAAACAATTACAGGTTTCTAGTTAGCATCTCCTAAGAGAGTATTAGAATGGTTTTGAGAGGCTCTTTCTTTTCCATTATCCCTGGAGGCAAACAGGGTCTCACATGGGGGACAGCAGGAAATGCTGAAGTCTGCAGTGTGACGGACTGGCAGTGATTATGTGTGTCTCACTGGGCTCTTTACTTCCTGCAGAAGTTTCCGCAGTGTCTAGTTCTTTCCCAGTTTTCATTCCACTGAGCTGAACCATCATTTAAGTTATTAGCAGAGAAATGGAATAAGATAAAATACGAAGGGTTTTCAAAGAGTTGCAAATAGATGGAAGAACATGATGCCAACAATTTACAATCAGAAATCATTGAACTCACTTGCCCACATCAAAGTCAACTACTTTGGACTCATTTGCATAATTTAATGCCAATTATTAATGGAAATTTTATAGGAAAATACACTTTACCATTGTTTGCCTCCCTCCTCTAATGATAGGAAGTAGACACAGAACAATATCCACAGAAGAAAGAGAGAAGCTTCTGAAAGAGCCCTTCACAGGTAAAAGCACTGGGATCAAATGGTTTAACAGGGAGATTCTACCATTCCTGAAACTGTCATATAAGCCAGTGCTACTTACCTAATTCCAAAGCAGCAAATGGTTACCAGTTCTCCACACTGCATGAGCACTTGATGCTTTGGTAATTAAGAAACATAAATTCAGAGTTCAGTTTGGTTCTTTGATCTTTCCTACAAACAAATCCACAATTTGATCCAGATTCACTATCCAATCACCCCCAGTGTTCAAGTCAGGCTTTAGAGCTACCGTGGTGGGCAATCGAGATAACTCACACGCACAAACTCATTTACACACGCAAATGCACAAGGGCATGCACACTCAGCGAAATACACACTAACATACACACATGCATACTTAACCGTGACACCATCTTACTTGCACACAAACATTCTGGAACACCACACACAAGCGTACTCTCATAAACACAGAAAGTGACATTATGCAACTTCACAGTTAATCATTTTCGTAAAACCACACACAGTCACCAGGCATGTGTGAATCTCAATAGCATGTCCTTATACAGAAGAAAAGTTACATCTCCATACTTCTGGATGCCTGGGAAGGGGACTTCTCTTACCCCCTTTAAAATCCTAATCCTGCAACAGCCTACAAAGGCAGTATTTATAATATGCAGCATTTACAAAGTGCTGTAAGCATTACCACCTTAGGTTGGGATGTGGGGTGGGAATGTTAGGGTACATGGGGGAGTGGCAGTGCATGGGTGTATGACAGAGCAGGTGAGAGAGAGGGCGTGGGGAAAGCAGGATATAGAGACAAGATAGAGGGTGGTACACAGGTCCTGGGATGAGGGGAGAAGAGAGTACAGGAGAAGAAAGAAGGCAGAGGGATAAAAGACAAGTGTGCTCAATGTCACAAGGAGCATTTCCACATTTAAGGGTACAAGGAGACAGTGTGCAGGGCAGTGAAGGGGGTGAGGCATATTGGGATCTGGGGAAAGAAGGCAGCGTTTCATGGAAATGAAGGGGGTCACGGGTATGGGCACTTCACAGGGAAGATACTCATGGTCTTTGGTTGGTGAAATTCACAGGAGACAAGGTCTTGGAGGGATTAAAATCATGGTGGGAGAGGAGGAAGGGGAAGATGTGTGCGGCAGGCAGGCAGACCTTGGAGGAAGACACCATGGTCCAAGACAGACAATGTTGGCAGAGAGGGACCCTGGAGGAGACCGTGAGCGCGAAGAGAGAGGCACAGGGGAGGGAGCCAGGAGAAAGGGGTGATAGGAGTAGGGTAGTGCATGTGGGTGTGGATTGGGTCTGTGCAGGAGTTCAGGCTGGGGCAGCGGATGGTGTGGAGTGTTGAGGACCCAGGGAACGGGGGGAGATACTGGAATCGGGAGTGAATGTTCAGCAAGACAAGGGTGCAGATGGTGTGGTTTGAGGGGGCATTGGAAGGTGAGGAGGGTCGCATTGGAGTCCCTGGAATAGTGGTCATGTAGGGACAGATGTCCAAAAGATGATGGGAAGGAGGTTGGGGAACAATTTTAATGGTAAAATATTTAAGTAATAGAGTAAAAGTATTCATGAATTACCCATGATCTCCAGA